TACATACATAGATACATAGGTTAATTGACCACTCCCCATAGGGGCTTTTCAGGGCCAACACCCGCCCATCCCACCCAGGGGAGGACATCCACCACACAGTAATCTCGTGCGTGGGAAATTAACGTCTCCTACCCCTAACCCTGCAGGATACGGGGCCTATGGTTTATTCGTCCTTATCCGAGAAGACTAGAATATCTATCCATTTCTTGATTGTAGAAAGGTAGCAAATTCTCCTCACTTATTTTAAGACCATGAGTATTGGTCCGGCCGGGGCTCAAACCCTCCACCTCCCGCACAACACAATTCGGCGCTCTAACCAATGGCGCTGCGTGCCAGGTCTAAAAATAGATATGTCATCTTTGGACCCCCCACTGGTTTAGGGCAAACACTCGCAGTCTTTACAAGGAATTGTCTGCAAAACGTATCAGAAGCAAGACTATTTTCGCTCAAAAAAAGGCTCTAACTTTCTAAAATGGTTGCAACTAGGCATTGCTTTCGGGGTACAAAAATGGCTCAAGATATCCAGAAAGATTGCCAGATTCGCTTAAAGAAATGCTGAAAAACGGTCGGAAAGCCTTCATACTGTTCCCAAAGCCGAAGCATGACTTGGAACTTTGTCAACCCCGGGTTAATGCGTGTTCTAGAAAGAATTTTTCAGTTGATAGTATTAACTACAATACTTATATTTGTGCTGTACACGGATATCCTTGACAAAAGCCTTTTCAAACCGCTTGTTTGGAAACATTACATAGACGACATCTCGCTATGGAGTACAAAAAAAGCAACAATAGAAAGTTTCATTGAAAAAGCAAACAATCATCATCCAACAATGAAATTTACGGCTGAAATTTCCGCTAAGGAAACAACACTCCTGGACGCCTACATCTATAAAGGCGAACGATTCGAAAAGGACGCAATCCTTGATGTGCGTACTCATTTTAAACAAACTGAGACATCTCAGTATACACACTATAGTTCCTGTCACCCACAAGGAGTTAAGAAGGGCTTAATAAAAGGAGAGGCTCTTAGACTTCTCAGAAAAAACTCATCTCATACAATATTCGAGGAGAAAATTGCAAATTTCAAAGCGCATTTGCAAAAGAGAGGCTACCCAGAGGCCCTCATTAACACAACCCTCTCAGAGGCGAATTTCAAAAACAGGAAACTAGCTCTTCAACAGAAACCGAAGACGAACCAACGAATCTTGCCTTTTATTACACAATACCAACCATCAGTGACCGAAAAAAAAGTAAAGCAAATTCTCATGAGACACTAGCATTTAATAGAAACAACCAGTACTAAGCGAACTATATAAAAATCCGCCACTCGTGTCTTAAAAATGAGGGCGATCGCTCAAAGACATACTCGTGAGGGCCAAACTTTGAATAGGCTATTCTAAACACGCGCTGGGGAGTCGTGTAGGCCTGTTAACCCCCCTTTTTACATTGAACTGTTAGATCCTTAAGTTTCACGTGATCGACTTTACTTTCCTTTAGTATCTTCGCCTGAAGCCATTCCCCATCATCTATACTTGAATCAAGTACATAATGTTTTCCCGACTTGATGCAGTCACGAACACGAGCGGTGAGGTCTGCTCGTTTTCCGCTCAATTTCAAGCCTCTACTGCTCGAACTTTGAGCCAGGAACACCGTCGTTTTGATTTAAAATAATTTGGATATATCAACAAAGTTGACAGGGTAAATTGGCCACCGAATAGTTCGCTCCGACGAAGGGCTGACGCTCGAAACGTCAGTTTTTGTAATCGTTACGGTGGCCAATTTACCATTTCAACTTTGTTGATATATCCAAATTATCTGGTTACTCCCACCAACGCAGCCCCAAACAGTTTTTTTCGAAACTATCAGCCTTTATTCATTTGTGTTTTGATTTAAAATACGAGCTTTAGAGGTGTTTGAACTAGAGATGGGCGCATCATCGCCCATATTCATTTACTCGGGAAGCCTGTTTGTTTCTCCTAATCGCTCTAGGGGTCAAAATTTCGTGACGTCACAAACGCGCAGCGCCATTGAGCTAACCGGGAGGCGGCACTCAAAGATGACGCTGTTTGCTGATGACATGGCATTTTATTGTCATGAGAACTCGCCAACCAATTTGCAATCAAAGCTCAATGCAGACTTGGCAGCTATTACATCTTGGTTACATAATAATTAGCTGACACTAAATGTTACTGAGTCGAAGATTATGGTCATTGAAGGACGTAACAGACTAAGTCAATTCAATGACATAGCCCTTGTAGCCAATAATGATCAACTGGAGAACGTTACCAGATTAAAGTATCTCGGAGTGATCATAAACCAGCATCTTACTTGGCATGACCATATTGAACAGCTACAAAGTAAAATAGCAAAGAAACTAGGTGTGATAAAACGAATCAAGCATCTTCTCCCAGTTTATGCATGGAGGATCTATATATCAACAATGGTCATTCCTGTTCTCGAATATGCAAGTAACGTATGAGGTGATAAAAATAACAAAGTTTTGATGGATTCTATTCAAGTTCTTCAGAATAAAGCAGCTAAGCTAGTACTGGATGGAGCGACACATTCCTCTTCAATTTAAGCACTTCTTGATATGAACTGGATCAATCTATCATCCAGAGGATCAATGCAACGGTGTCTTTTTATGTATAAACTTATAAATGACAGTGAAAGAAACAGTATGATTACTCGAGGCACAGACTATCATAGCTATAACACTCGCTCCAAGGAAACTATTAGATCTGTTAATGATCAAACACGAACTGGGGTCCACTCAGATCTTTTAATAGTGCATTGACAGACTGGAATTCCCTCCCAGAAGACATGAATAGTCTACCCTATGATGCTTTTAAAATTTCACTGCTTAAGTATTTTGAATTTTAATAGGTTCCGTTAGTGTGTCATCGCTTGCACATCGATTTTATTATTTTCTGTTCATGTCATATTTTAGATATTTCATATTTTAGATATTTCATATTTTAGATATTTCATATTTTAGATATTTCATATTTTAGATATTTCATATTTTAGATATTTCATATTTTAGATATTTCATATTTTAGATATTTTATATTTTAGATATTTCATATTTTAGATATTTCATATTTTAGATATTTCATATTTTAGATATTTCATATTTCCACCGTGAGTGTTTACTTGTTAATTACGTGATTACTTATTTTATACATTGTTAATTTTGAGGGCCTCACTGAAAACCGCTGTGGCGAGCTGAGCTCCCTCTTTAAATATTTTTTTTATAAATAAATAAATAAATAAATAAACAAACAAACAGGAAAAATGTTTCATTACATTAGTCTTGCGTATATCGAACTCTGAAGTTATTTAGCATAATCATTATTATCATCATTTTGTCAGTATCATATATCTTTTTTTCTGTTTTCGGCAGAATGGGACGTTTATTGGTGTAAACTGTGATACAAATGACGCAAAAGTTTCAAAATTATCAAGTAAAGTCATCTCAGGTGGCAAGAGAGCCTACGAGTGCATTTGCGATGGTACCCTAACATCTGGAGATGCAAAAATGTATTGCAACATCCACTACTGGGAGTGTCAGTCATAAGGGGAAAACGTAAAGCCATTAGTTTAAAGAGAGTCTTTGTAGAAAAGTTAATAGAGAGTTGTACCAGAAACGAGAAGAGCAATTTAGCTGTTTAGCATATGACCAACTGCCCTCGATATCATATCTTTTGTCACTGGTGCATTAATTTTTCTCAAATGTGTCCAGTCGTAGTAAAGAGCAAAGAATGTTTACACCAAGTCATATTTACAATCGATATTATAAGCTTATTCTAGATTTATCCTGAAGCCATTCAGTATCGCAACATTAAAATATAGTCATATCGTTTTACCAAGTAACTTTTTCTTAAACTTTGACGTGGGGGGGAGGGGGGGGGGCCAAATGGCTTTTTCCGACAATTCCTGAGACTTATCGCTAATCACACTATCCTGTTTAAGATGCATCAGCTCTTTTGGAGTCGATCCATTACGCTAGCAAAACCGAAGAGAGCTACGTAAAGAGGTGCATGATTGCGTTACAAAGTGGATTCGCGGTGCGACAAAAAATCTGAAGAATAATAAAAATGGTCTTTCTAGATAATTTGCATCTGTGCGCACGAGATATCTCAGTCCGGCGCGGTATAAATGAATAAATAAACTATGTAATTTGAAGTTCCCCCTTAGGGGCTTTTCAGCCACAATGTAAAACTAACTAAGTGCTTAAAAATCCCCACTGGCAGGAGGGAGACCAGTGGGCTATTTACAGAGCGCAGCAGAGGAGTTGAACTGGGGGCAACCGAGAACAAATCCAGTGACTGGCATGGTGGAGGATTTGAACCCAGGATACCGGACTACAAGTCCAGCACCCTAACCACTTGGCCACGCCGCCTCCTTGAGTATAATTTATAATTATTTGCTTTGAGACGAGAAGAGAGTCACATTGAGCTCTATCCAAAGAGGAGTGACTTAAAAAGCTATATTTCGTTCGCAATGCGGTTTCAACAGCAATGTGAACTATCACAATGAAACCATAGACCAAATTGTATCCTTTCGTAGGTTTACATCGCGATCAACTGTTTGAAAAAGTTTTACCGAGTTTTCAGCTGTATAGATGCACTGTAAACATATTCAAATTAGACCGAGGCGATAGGCGTTTTCATTGCATGACCATGATTGCATGACCAAGATTGCATGACCAAGATTGCATGACCAAGATTGCATGACCAAGATTGCATGACCAAGAATGCATGACCAAGATTGCATGACCAAGATATAAACAGAAGGCTAGTTTCCATCACCCAGACATTGTTTTTTTTTTTAAGCTTTCTAAACGGCTCCGATTATCTTGACCTATAGAAGGAGAACGTATTGATTTTTCCCTGCACTGCACCCAGACGTTTTTGGAAGCTTTCGAAACGGCTCCTGACCAATTAAAGGGAACATAAAGTTCCTGTACTGACCTATTGGCCAATTTCCCAAAATCATGAATTTTGTCCTATTTTTGTCTCTTAGAGGTCAATGATATCTATTACAGGGGGTTATGAACAGGCCTTGAGTCGATATTATGTTTCAGTGTTACGTGCGAAAGTACCAACAATCTTTCTGTAATTCGAAAAACACACTGCATTGCTACCTAGCTGCTTAAGATGAATAGATCGCCTTGTGGAAGAGAAAATTTTTATTTCGAAATGGAATCAGCCCAAAAGGATACCGAAGTAGGAGTATACAATGATGTTGCTTGCGCGATAACAACAACGCCAAAGAGCTGTGATAAGGTCCAGTTGGGTGGATATGAGAGGCATACTGGAACTACAGAGAGTTCGATTCAAGCTCTAAATTATGCCCTGCATTTACAAGCTGCTGTGGTTCGCCGTCTTCTGTGCATTTCGGTCACTGTTGTTACCGTTGCTTTCTTGACAGCGGCTGCCACTTTGGCATTGGCTTTATTCTTGATGATATATAGAACAAACGATGTGGCCGTGTCGTCTAAAACTGACGGACCTTTGAAAGGTAAGCAGACTACCGGGAGAATTGCATATTCAGCGCATTTCACTTCACTATAGCTTACTGCATGATAATTAAGTTGTTCGCATGGTGAGCAAGTCAATTTATGCGAAAGAAGAGGAATAATAGGGCTTCCTCCTCTTCACAATGGTTATCATTGCAGATTAAACAAACCTCTCTCCCTGGAAATATTGATTTAATGGAGACTGATTTGACTCTGAGAGAAAAAAGATGATTCAAACAATGGATATTATGAAGGTTTTCATTTTTCAGAAGGTGTATAAAAAAAAAAGAAGCTGCAATGGATATTTAGTTCAGATTCATGGAAAAGCTTTGAAACATGAGCGAGATCTGACTTTCACTTATATAAAGCGCAACTAACAATTGGATGTAAAGAATATCGGCCCAGGCATGTCATACAAATGAAACTCGAGACTGGTACAAAAAGCTTCTTAAGCCAACCTAACAATTCAAAGGCAGACCCAGAAAAATACATCAAAACAATAATTATTAACTCTGTGGGAGTCATTTCATCAACTGTTATGAGGGAAAAAACAAACCCCTAATCATTAACGAGTCGAACATTTACAAAGAAAACTATGGAATCCTGGAAAGAAATGACTGTTCAAATACATACTGACCATAAGCTGTTCCGGGAAATTAAGAGGCTGCGAGACTTAATACGGGTAGGGTGATCCAAGGTGGAATTTTATTTCTCGACACGTGACACGCAATTTTTTTGGACGCATGTTACACGTGAACTTGGTTACGCGGACTCCGCCTTACGAGTAACAGAGATCTCAGTGGTGAGTCGGCCAGTATCTGGTTAGTGCCAATGTTAAAGTTTAGTGTGGGAAAATAGAAGGAGAAAGATGGCAAATTTTGAACCCAGCAATAAAAAATGGACTAAAGTTATTATGTTCATCACGAACGTGCTGTAATATGCAGAATAATTTGGATATATCAACAAAGTTGAAATGGTAAATTGGCCACCGTAATGATTACAAAAGCTGACATTTCGAGGGCTAACGCTCGAAACGTCAGCTTTTGTAATCATTACGATGGCCAATTTACCATTTCAACTTTGTTGATATATCCAAAGTAATATGCAGAAGCCTGTCACGCGGAGCTTAACATATAGTCTCTGTAGCTCTGTGGTAGAGTTTCTGAGCACGGAATTCGAAGGCCTCTGTCCCACGCTCTAACGATCTTGAAAGGATACTACAACAACTGTAAAATCCTTCTTCAGAGAGAGATTGTTACTTTTTCGCTGTTGTCATTTCCCATTCGTTTCTGCGATTCCTCATTTGGATTGCTAGCTATTTTGGATTTATCATTCACTATTCTGTAACCAGCCTGTATTCTTTTTAGAGTCGAAGCCATCACAATCAAAGTTTGAAGCTGAACTTAAGGCAATGAAGCAGAACAACTCCACAATTCAATCACGGGCTGCTGATAAAGTGGTGGGTAGCTATAACGGCCAGGTGCTTTATCAATCTTGCTTTTATTAGTATTCAATGATATATTCGTGAGAGAAGTGGCTCATTAGGTTACTCAGAAAAAATATCAGTGAATCCATTATCCTCCAGCGAAAGAATGTTAACAGATATATGCGTTGTCAAACATTGAGAAGTGACTTATTTGAATCCATCTGTCCATCTAAAAGGATATTCGTGCTAAAAAGGTGAGTGCAATTTTAAAGCATTTGGCATAAAAAATATTGATATAAGGGAGAAGCTGAAACATTATACATACATACCTACATACATACGT